AAAGGTCGTGGTAGGGGTGGGTGGGTGGGTCTATCAGTCACTTCTCACACTGCTGTAAAGAAATGCCTGAGACGGGGCAATTTATAAAGAAAAGAGGTTTAACTGGCTCATGGTTCTGCAGGCTGTACAGGAAGCATAGCAGCTTGTGCTTCTGGGGAGGCCTCAGGAAACTTCCAATCATGGCAGGAGGCAAAGGGGGAGCAAGGCACATCACATGACCGGAGGCAGACAAAGAGAGAGGGTGGGGAGGTGCCACACACTTTTGAACAACCAGATCTCAGAATCACCCACTCACTCACTATTGCGAGAACAGCATGGATGGGATGGCGCTAACCCATTAATGAGAACTCTGCCCCATAGTCCAGTCACCTCCCACCAGGCCCCACCTCCAACTCGGGGGATTATAATTCAGCAGGAGCTTTGGTAGGACTCATACCAAACCCTATCAGTGGACATTTGGGAGAGACTTCATAGAGAAGGATGGGAGAAGGGTCGGCTTGAAGCACTGGAGGTTTTCACTGTGCTCATTGGATTGAGGGGCATGTGTTCCTGCATAGGGCTCCCTCTGTGCGGACACAAAGAGATGGGAATCCCAGAGGATGGGTGAGCTTCTGCAGGGGTAGACCAGTGAGAAGCGAGGGTGGAAAATGATTCAAAGAGTAGCATTTTAGAAGACTAGTCTGTCTGCAAGCCTGGATTAGGATTTTGTTCCTAACCTACTACTTTTCAGACTTGGCTGTATGTTTCAGTCACCTGGGGGGTTAAAAAAGTACTGAAGCCTATAGCCCTCCCCATACTCCCAGAGGTTCTGATTTAATCTGTTTGGAATTAGGCCTGGGTTTTGGGTGTTTTAAAAGCTCCCCAGGTGATTCTAATGTGCAGCTTGAGCCTGAGAACCACCACCCAACCCACTGATAAGATCTTGATGTAACCTCCACTGAGCCTCCACTCATCGAGCTGAACCACAGCACAGTGCTGGCCAGGAAAAAGCAGGATCAACTGATGGGGGGAAAAAAAAATTAAAAAGTACTTCTGGCTGACTGGGGGCAGTGGCTCATGCCTGCAATCCTAGCACTTTGGGAGGCTGAAGCGGGCGGATCACCTGAGGTCAGGAGTTCGAGACCTGCCTGACCAACATGGTGAAACCCTGTCTCTATTAAAAATACAAAAAATTAGCTAGGCGTGCACGCCTGTAATCCCAGCTACTTGGGAGGCTGAGGCAGGAGAATCGCTTGAGCCTGAGAGGTGGAAGTTGCAGTGAGCCGAGATTGTGCTATTGCACTCCAGCCTGGGTGACAGAGTAAGACTATGTCTCAAATAAATAAATAAATAAATAAATAAATAAATAAATAAATAAAATAAAAATAAAAGGTACTCCTGTGACAATATTTATAATATTCCACATAGTCCAACACCTTAGTTATAATAACAGTTTTCACGTAAATGCTATGAATTTTTGCATTGGCCATGAAGTAGATGGGGGCAAATGTGTAGACTTTTGGAAATGTATGGACATGGAAAATGTGTCCAAAATTTGCAATAAAAATGGCAGGATAAAACAAACACCTTTATCATAGCCAAAAATTCAATAGCCTAAAAGCAATTATAGCATGAAAACACTAAACTTGCAAGTATAAAAATATAAGTCCTCAGAAACTTGCTGCTGGAAGGCCTCAGTTTCCAAATGCTGTATGTCAGTGATTCTCAAACCTGAGTGTGCATTGACGTCGCCTGGAGGGCAGTCACTGGTTGCTGGGCTCCAGTTTCAGGTTTAGCAGACTTGGAGAGCCCAAGGATATGTAGTTTCAAAGTTTTCCCAGGTGATACTGCTGGCCTGGATACCATACTGTGAGAACCACTGGTGCTTGCTGCCATGTAAGAACCACTACTGCATGGGTTCAAATATTGTAGGAAAAAGGTCTTGATAAACGTGATAGAAGGACATGAGTTTTGCTTTTTATGTCAGATGAGGGGCTTCTTTTGGGAGTTAGGGAATCTGTCCTCCTCCAGTACAAGCCAGCTACTCCTCATCTCCATGCTCTAGGGGGTACCTGTCTGAGTCTAGGTAGGGTAGGTAGAAGAGAAAATTGTCTTTTCGTTCTCCTAATTGTCCTTTTAAAATTTACTACAAAGGGTGGTATTATATATAGCCATAATATTATATAACATGTTCTTTATTTTTCTTCCAGTAGAAAATATTTGTAAGTTCAAAGCATTTTTTAAATCTTTTATGACTGTCTCCCCACCCCTCTTACCTGACAACATGAAAAATTTGAAGAGTTAAAAAAATTCCTAACCATCCATGTCTTCCTTAAAACAGGTTCTTGCGGCTCATTCTTGGTGGTATGTTGGAGGATGTCAGTCCTTGGCCTCCACCTAGGTGCCAGCTTTTGCATCAAACAGCATTCCTGGTAGAAAAGACATTTGCAGTGCACCTTGGGAGGGAGGAGAAGCGGAAATCATTCTCAGATGTTAGAAAGAAACATGTTTCTAATTGAAAGCATGACGAGAGGGCACACATGAAAGTGCCTGGGTGGTGAGCTCAGGCCGAGGCACAGCTTTGAAAGCCCCACTCAGTCCTTGCTGTGGCCACTTCTGTTCTTGTGGGTGGATCCCATTCCCATTCCTGTGACATTCCAGAAATAACCATGGCTGAGCAGGGACCCAGGACAGCATCTCAGATATAGCAACAAAGTTTGCTCAGTTGGTCAGGAAAACTCTGATACGTTAGAATCCCGAATTCTAGAAACACAGAGCTTTTGAATTAGAATTCTAGAAGCACAGTGTGGGAACAGCCTTTATTCTCATATTGTGGGGACCATTTTAGAACAAATCGCTGCTGCCCTCCTCATAACCCCCAAACACACACAAGTGCAGAGGCCAAGGTTAAGTGACTTACTCCAAGGTCACCTAGGGAACTGGCTCCATTTTTTTTTTTTTGAAAGAATCCTTCCCAACTTTTTAAAAATTTCTCAGCTTGGTATTCTGACACCCAAGGGCCATTTTAGAAAAATCATTACGTGCTGTAATGAATAGGCATCATATCGTAGAAAGATGGGAAAAGTATCTTCTCTCTTTTATAGAAAATCAATAGGTTTCAAGGCTTTTAGGTCTTGGTCTTTTGGATCTTCATAACTGAGTCTCCTGTTGTTCGTTTTGCTTGTCTATTTTGTAATTGTTTTGTGAGTCTCCTGTTGTTCGTTTTGCTTGTCTATTTTGTAATTGTTTTGTGGACTGAAGCTTGTATTGAACTTTATGGGAGACTTGATAGTGTGTTCTGCCTCAGGACCAACAATTTATGTAAAAGGTGAGGTGACAGCAACAGGGCAGCATAATAAATGTATTTGAACAAATAAAGAAGGGACTGAAGGAATCATGGCCATAGGCCTATGACATTACATAGTAAAACTTAAGTCAGTAGCATCTACACTTCTTTTTCTTTTTTTCTTTTTTTTTTTTTTTTTTGAGATAGAGTTTCCCTCTGTCATCCAGGCTGCAGTGCGTGACACCATCTCGGATCACTGCAACCTCTGCCCCTCGGGTTCAAGCGATTCTCCTACCTCAGCCTTCCAAGAACTGGGATTACAAGCACCCACCACCATACTTGGCTAATTTTTGTATTTTTAGTACAGATGAGGTTTCACCATTTTGACCAGGCTGGTCTCGAACTACTGACCTCAAGTGATCTGCCCAGCTCCACCTCCCAAAGTGCTAGGATTACAGGCGTGAGCCACTGTGGCCAGCCAGTAGCATCTAAACTTCTAAGGGACCTTGCCTATCATAAAACCTACTTACTCTACCAATGACCCACAGCCCTGATAACTGTTTTTTAAAATTTTTTGAGACTGGGTTACATTCTGTTGTTCAGGCTGGAGTGTAGTGCCGTGATCATGGTCGCTGCAGCCTCGACCTCCTGGGCTCGAGTAGCTGGGATTACAGGTGCATGCCACCATGTCCAGCTAATTATTTGTATTTTATTTTATTTTTTGGTAGAGACAGAGTCTCACTGTGTTGCCCAGGCTAATCTCAAACTCCTGGGCTCAAGCGATCCTCCCACCATGACCTCCTAAAGTGATGGACTTACAGGCGTGAGCCACTGTGCCTGGCCTGATAACTTTAAAACTCTGCTTGGTCATGAGTGTGGTGATTCAGCGTACATACGTCCTCGCAAATAGGAGATGAAGAAGTTGTTTCTTTTTGGTTGCCTTTCATTGTTAAATTAGGGATGGTGCATAGCACACTGGATTTTTATACAAACTAGCAGGTGTATTTTGGGTGACTCTCAACCTCTCTGCCCTTGGTTTTCTCGTTTTCTCATACGTCAAAGAGTTGATTGGACTAAATTTCTGACACAGTCTCTCAAAGATCTGATAGCCTATACGACATGAGGTCTGTAGGAGAGCACTTTTTGGGGTTGGGGATTGGACTGGACTTTTGTTTTTTGCCAAGTCTTGGCAAAAAATTTAGGCTTAAAAATTTTAAAATTAAATTTTAAGTTAAATGTATATTTAAATTTAAGTCACAGAGCATAACTTTAAAATAATGGCAGAGCATTTTCTTATGATTTTTCCCGGATTTTCTGATGCATTTCTGGGAAGCAGATACAGTAAAGTGGTTAAGAATGATAGCTTTGGAGCTGGCTCACTTGGTTTCCAATTCCAGCTCTTCTACTTAGTAATAATTATGTGACGTTTAACAAATCACTTAATCTCTGTTTCTGTTTTTTCATCTGTAAAGTAGGCACAATAAAATATCTACAAAAAACGTTGCTGGGGAATTAAATTTGTTTATATATGTTTAGAACCGTGCCTGTCACATAGGAAGCCATTAATATTAGCTCTCCTCCCCCTCCTCCACCCAACCCCCCCCCTTCCTGCTTATGAGTGCTCGTGTAGTTTTTTATTGGAGAACAAACAACCTGATGCTACTGTTAACCCTTTGGAAAAATTAGGAAGTCTACAGTGTTCTTCAAAGCTGTGCCTTCTGTTGTCTTTCTGCAGCTAGCTGTGTTCCACCATGTCAGAATGGAGGGATGTGTCTCCGGCCTCAACTCTGTGTGTGTAAACCAGGTACCAAAGGCAAAGCCTGTGAAACAATAGCTGCCCAGGATACCTCGTCACCAGTCTTTGGAGGGCAGAGTCCTGGGGCTGCCTCCTCCTGGGGCCCGCCTGAGCAAGCAGCAAAGCATACTTCGTCTAAGAAGGCAGACACTCTACCAAGAGTCAGCCCTGTGGCCCAGATGACTTTGACCCTCAAGCCGAAGCCTTCAGTGGGACTCCCCCAGCAGATACATTCTCAGTGAGTGTTTTGAAATTTTGTTTAGCTAAGGGTCATCTTAATTACTGTCTTGGATGCATTGCTTTAAATCACTGTCCCTTTCCTGCACAATTTGCAGAAATCACTTGGATAGTAATGTCTTTCTTTCCTTTCTTAAGGCTTTACACATTAGGCTTACACATGGAGTCTCTTAAAAATATTTGATATGTGTGTTTAGCCTCTGCAGGAAAATTTACCGTAAGTACAACCCAAGGCAACTGTGAGGATTATAGGGATCAAGATTGGAAGGGAATGATAAAGATAGTTATTTGTGATAAAGTTGTTAGTTTAAAAATTCTGTTTTTGAGGGGGGAGCCGTTTTATAGAGTTTTGAAATAATTAAAAAACAAACAGTGTTATTTTTAAAGTTATCTGGAAAAGGTAAGAACTCAGCTTGCACAGAGAAACTACTCAAATGAAAGGGAGTCCTTGCAAAGAATTTCTCAACCTCAGTAGCAGGTTAAGTGTACCTTCTGTTAACACCATGTTTATCTCCCAGTTGCCGTGTGGGTCCATTTTTGGTGAATGAGCTTGTTTTCTATTTATGGGAACAAGGTTTTTTTTTTTTTTTTTCCTTAGTGTTAGGAAGTAAGTGCTATTCTGAACAAAATGAGAACTCAGAGAAGAAAGATTACTCCGTTCTCTGAGTTGCATTGCAAGCAGCCACTCAGCTGCACCGGCTCCTTAAACAAATGGTCTCCTCTTAATGAGCTATTCTATATGGATAATAAGATGCAGAATGTACTGCAGCTATCACTTGTCATTTGTCTAGGAATGTAAAATACAGGAAGTTCCCAACTTAAGAATGGGCTTGGCGTAGCAGTTCATTTTTAAGTCACTTGCTTGGAATTTAGAATGCTTCTTCCCTCTGTAGAGACAGCTTCCACATGGTGATTAGTATCCAGTCAGCCCACAGAAGTTATTCAGTCTGTTACTATAGATGAAATTATCCTTATTTCTACTTTCCCTTCGAATAGACCACCTACTGTTTCTGCTGAGTGTGGTCTTTTTCTTTTCTCCTCCGATTCCCTCCTCAATCCTCAATCCTCTTTTTTTTTCTGTTTTTCTTCATTTTTCTGTAATTTCTCCTTGTCTCATAATACTTCAGTTCTATTGTGGTAGCTAGATTTAGGGGCTAGTTTGAAATGCTACTTTGCTATTGGAAAACACATTCTGCTGCCCTCAACGAGAAGCAAAGGTAGGTATAGCTAATACTTACTAAGTGCTTACTATATGCCAGGTACTCTTCTAAATGCTTGTTGTGTATTGTTCACTTACAATTCACAAGGACCCTATGTGGAAGGTAACGTTAAACCCATTTTACAGATGAGAAGACTGAGGTACAGAGTGGTTAAGTAATTTGTTCAAGGTCCCACAGTTAGTAAATGAAAGTATTACAATTTAAACGGAGGCAGCCAGGTTTCAGCATCCATGCCCTAAAGGAAGGAGTTGGCAAAAATTTTCTGTAAAGGGGCAGATAATAAATATTTTTAGCTTTGTGGGACATACGGTTTCTGTTGCATCTACTCAGTTCTGCCATTGTAGCACAAAAGCAGCCATAGACAGTGTACGAATTAATAAGTGTGACTGTGTTCTAATAAAACTTTATTTTATGGACATTGAAATTTGAATTTCATATAAATTTCACAGTTCATGAAGTATTATTCTTTTTTTGATTTTTTTCTCAACCATTAAAACACATAAAAATTATCCTTATGGGCCATATGAAAGCAGGCTGTGGGCTGGATTTGGCCCATGAACTGTAGTTTGCTAACTTTTTCTCTAAAGGATAGTAGTGCTTTTTTTGTGTGTGCCAGAACATGAATATAACTATGTGTTCTTGGAACGATATAAAGCTTTGATTATATCATAGCTAGACATCTTCCTTCCAGCATTGTTTTAGATCTTAAAAACAAAAAATAATTCCGTGTTGAACTATGCTGTGGCGATCAAGAGTCATATTACTGTGAATTGCAATTAGTTTTTTCTAGCATTATGGCTTACATAAACTGTAAAGTAATTTACAAGCAACATTATTCATCTTGAATATCACCATCCACTATTAGAATTTGACCCTCTATGATGTATATATATGGATTGCTAGTAAGAACCATATGTCGGTTGTCAGATAAAGGAACAGTCCATTTTTTTTCCTTCCTTTTGGTACCCGCAGTGTAATTTAGACAAGAATGTTGTGAGTCAAAGAGGAGGTTAAGGTTTCAGCTCTGACTCAGCTTTGGTAAAATAAAGTCATTAGGCAGTTTGCTTTGGAGATTTCATCTGCAGAATGAAGATGCGTTTTTACGATAGCATTGTTATAGGCATGTGTATATGGGTGTGCCTACTGGTGTGCTTTTAAGTAAAGAGAAGAGATGAGAAGAGATGGCCTTCGGTGCCATCAATCCTGATGTTAATAAACTGTATAGATTGCCCCATTATCTGGTCACTGCAGAGAAGATTAAGATGTACAAGACCCAGTCCTGCTCTTGCGGAGATTTTGAAATGACAAATGAGCTATACAAAGGAAGGGACACAATTAGCCCTTTGAGTAATTTAGGTTATGACATAATCACAGTGAGTCATGTTTAATCAAATGGCCAAGAAATCACATATGATAGGTCCATTTTGGCTACTTTTGAGAAATGTTAGAATCCTTAAGTTATCTTTAAGATTGGCTTTGTTAGAGTATTTCAGGTTTTGTGTTTAACCAGTAAAGGAGATTGATTAAGCCTCCTTAAAGTATTCAACTGTATACATAAAATATGTCTAAAATGCCAAAATGTTTAGTGTTACATTCCTTGTGTGGCACGTGAAGTGCGATCATCTCGATCACTTATTCAACAAGTTTTTATGGAGCATATTTTATGTACGAGGGCACTGTTCTAGGAGCTAAGGATATATAACATTAGGCAACTAAATAAAATGCCTGCTTTCTTGGAACTTACAGTTTAGAGACGGAGAGGCAGTTGATAAATGACATAATTAAAATACACATTAGATACTCATAATTGCTGTGGAGAAAATAAAACTGCAGTGGTAGAGAGGGCATGCTGGGCTGGTGTGAGGTGGGGAAGAGTGAGGGGTGTGGCAGCTTTAAATAGGCTGCCAAGGAAGACCCTGCTGAGAGGCATTTCAGCAAAGACCTGTGGTAAGGGCATGAACCCTGCAGATACGTGGGGGTGAGGCAGAGGCTTTGAGGCAGGAATGTGCCTGAGGTGTTTGAGGAACAGCTAGTTTGGTAAAACTGTAGTGTTAAAAGCACATATTTTAGGCAGGTGGGTATAAGATGAATTGGTTTTACCTTTGGCTGAATTGGTTTGAGGCAACTTGATTTAGAACCAAATACAAATGAAGTTCCTTAGGAAACCAAAAGAAAGAGCGGTTGTTTCCAGATTTTGAAGTGTTAGTACGGTGGAGTCTAGGGATGGCTCCTTAAAGATGTCTGTGAGAAGATGGTTGAATTCAGATACAACTGGAGGAGAAGGATGTATCCAGGGCAGGCAATGATGTGAGGCTAGGTAGCCTGGCTTATTAGTTTTCTTTGGCTATGTAACAAATCACCCCAAAACTTAGTAGCCTAAAATAACATGCATTTATTGACTGACAGTCTGTGTCAGGAATCCAGGAGTTGCAGCCAAGCAGTCAGCAGGGGTGGCAGTCATCTGAAGGCTCGATTGGGGCTGGGGAATCCACTGCCAAGATGGCTCACTTTCATGGTTGTTGGCAGGAGGCCTTAGCCCTGGCACTGGCTGTTGGCAGAAAGCTTCACTTCCTCTGTATGCGGACCTCTCTGTAGAGCAGCCTGAGTGTCCTCACAGTGTGGCCATAAGCTTCTCCCAGAGTGAGTGATCCTAGATTAGGGAGAGCGAGAAGAAGGCCACAGTGCCTTTATGGTCTTGGTCTTAAGGATGCCACATCTTCACGTTCACCTTATTCTACTCATTGGAAGTCAGTTGCTAAGTCTAGTCCTCACTCGGAGGGAGTAGAAGTATGCTGCACTGCTTAAATGGAGAAGTATCAAGGAATTCGTGGACATATTTAAAAATGACCATATTTAGGATATGATTTAATTAGAACTTGATAAAGATGAAGATTAATGGTAATATAAGGTAATATAAAGCTCTGAAGGTTGCTTGAAAACCAAGCTACTGACTAAGATGTCAACAAAACAATTCCCAAAAGACACAAAATAGATAAAAAAGTAATAGAGGGAGGACTTGTAGCTTAAAAAGCCTTAAGAAACACAATGAACAATCACAGCATTTGGATTATGTTTCTGTCCTGATTCAAACAAACTGCTAATAAAAGAAAAAGATAACAATGATGATTTATAGGACAAGCATGAACATGCTAACATTGATTGGAAATTTGATGATATAAAGGAACTGTTGATTTTGGGAGCTGTGATGATGGCATTATAGTTATGTTCATAAGGAGGAGAATCATGTTAAAGTATTTAGATGAAATGATATGATGTGTGAGATTTTATTCAGAATAATCCAGTGGGTTGATATATAGAGGTAATAAGATTGGTTTGAGGTGGTAATTATTGAAGCTTGATGATGGGTACATAGGGGTTTCTTACAAAATTCTTTTTATATTTGTGAAATTTTCTGTGATAAAGAGTAATAAAAAGATGAAGTTTCTTACGGTCCCGAGTGTGGTCCTGAGTCTTCAAAAACCTAATGCTATGATATCTCCAAGGATGGAAGAACTTCTGGGATATTCCTTGAAGTATGCCACCTCCTAATTGACAACAGTAACAATAAAACGTAAGCTCATTCCCTTTATTTGGAGTAAAGGGAAAAAAAAATCCCATTATAAAGCTATGCCAGTAGTTAAACACTTTGGGGAGAGAGTTCAAGCTTGCTGCAGTACTGATCGTTATTACTGCGACCTTGTCTGAACTTATTAAAGGATCCAAGGAATTGATCAGTACTCAAACGGATGATTTCCTTATACGATCTCTCAGACTATAGGAG